CTCTGAACAGATTCTATACTATCAATGTGACACTGATAAATTGGGAACCAAATAATTGATCCATACTCAAGTTTACTCCTAACCAAGGTATAATACAAAATTTTTAAGGTGCTAATATTTCTAAAATCTTTGCAGTTCCTTAATATAAAACCTAAAGTCCTATTGGCATCACTAACTAAATGATTAACCTGAGTAACAAAGGTAAGATTAGAGTCAAAGAAGATGCCTAAATCTTTTACGCAATCACTTCTTGAGATTGTAATATCATTAAGTGTATAATCATAATTATAAATTTGTTTTTTCCTGGAAAATGATACTACATAACATTTGTTTATATTTAACATTAAACGATTTGAATTACACCATTTGCCAATTAAGTTGGCTTGATTCTGCAAATATCTACAATTTTCCTCATTCTCAATACTTGTAAAAATCTTTAAATCATCTGCAAAAAGAAGATTATTACAAGATATACTATTCGGTAAATCATTAACAAACAAGAGAAACAGTAAGGGCCCTAAATTCGAACCTTGTGGAACGCCAGAAGTAACTTTAAATTTTGACGAAGTGAAACCCTCACACTTAACAAACTATTATCTCTCTGTTAGGTACGATTTAATAAAATTAACAAAATTATTTGATAACCCAATACTGTCAAGTTTAGCAAATAACACGTAGTGATCAACCTGGTCAAATGCTTCGCTAAAATCCATATATAACACATCAATTTGCCCTTGGTGATCAATATCCTAACATATGTATTGAGAAATGCATGCCAAGTTTGATACACAAGAACGTTTATTTACAAACCCATGTTAACTCTGGGAGAAAATATCTTTGGTATTAGCGTAAATATGTTCATATAGTATTATTTCAAATAGTTTTGAAAAATTACATAAAATTGAAACAGGCCTATAATTAGATATTATAGATGGATCACCTTTTTTAATACCGGACATATGCGCGCTACTTTCCACACATCTGGATATGTTACTGTAGATGAATATAAATAGCAAAGGAACTACTAAGACCTGCCCACAGTCCTACACAACAAAACTAGGTATAAAATCTGATGACCAGATGTCATTTTATATTTAAGTTTTTTAAGGGCGTTGAAAAAATCCACCTCAGTAATTATTGGTATATTAATATTCTTGCTAAAACTGTGCGCCATATTAAATTTTTTATAATTAAAATCAAGTGTCACATAAACACTACGAAAATAATCAGCAAATCCTTCAGCAATAGCTTGAGAATTATCATACTGAATATCATTGAATTTCATTACACCCGGAATATTAGAATGCCCCTTCTTATTTATTGCCCCTTTTATTTATTACATAATTTCTCTGACATCGTAAGTAACTATTAAGGATTTTTCTTTTACTGAAATTACAGAATTTACCAAACATTTTTCAACTTTGGTAAGATTTTTAGTGCTTAGGTATTAGAATGTTTACCGTACAATTTCACCACCACATTCAGATATAATTTGATTTATAACCTTCTGATACTGTTAGCTAATGATAATTTATTATTTTGTTGCAGAAAGAACTGTTTTCGAGTAAATTGGAAGGCGAGATGGCGGGTCGCGAGAGGAAAATGTCGTCCGCGTCGACGGGTAGTATGAAAAATAAATGGTTAAAAGCTTTTAAAAGCTTGAAAACTCCTCCTCCGGAGCCGGAAAAGTAAGTACATATTTTCGCACTCATATAAATTCTGTTTTACTAACATGTTTCTTATTACTTTCTAACCATCTTTGTTAAGTGATTTGTATGATGTAATTTAACTTAATTGTGACTCCAATTGTTTCTTGTTCAATAAATCTATTTAATAACGTAGAAGCAGATATACCTTACACATGTCATAAACTGCACAGAAACTGTAAAATATTGTATATAAATATTTCATTAGTAAAATGCATTTCTTCATAACGTCATGATTTGGTATCACTATTAAATTGTATGTATACAGAATAATGCCTCGTGGATTAAGAACTACACAAAGAGTTCAAAAATAAGAAAAAAGTTCTGATGAATATATGTCCATAAATGTTTCATTTCTGAAAAATGGAAATCAAGTTTTCATAAAATATCAGATTTCTTTTTCAAATACGAAAAACTAAGTACACAACTACTATTAAGGCCACTTACACAAATGCTGAAATTTCGTATATGGCTTATGTGTATGGTCTTGGTGACGGAGCCTGTTCTCAACCTAAATGAAATTACTTTAAAAGATTTCCAAAAACGTTCAGAAACATTTAAAAATATCCCAAGTGCGAGATGACGCTTAATTTTAGTCTCATAATATACCCCTAGATTTTTTCACGACATTAGGAAACACCCTGTATACGGACATGTCATTTTTAAAGGTTGGAAAGTTGTCGTCTGTACATTGAGATTTATTCTAATGGCCTTCTGCCTTCTACCTTCCACCAGACTTTATTAGAGTCTCCATTGAAAAATTTGGCTCTGGAAGACCTAGATCTGTTTCCACATCCGAGCTAAAAGAGCAAATTTTGGAGGAGGCGAGAGAAAACTCTGAAACTAACATAAGTTGGATGTGGCTCATGCAGCTGCTAGGGATCCTCTTGTTTAGAAGTTTAAGTACGCCTATCATATCCAACGTTTACACTGAATCCACCAGATTTGAATTGTTTTGGTCAAACCGTTTGAAGAAGATAAACCTNAATTTGTGACAATTAAAAGGAAATAAATAAAAAATCTTATAGCGTATCTCTACGAATTCATTTACTTACTTTAGTTTGGCACTTAATTAAAAGTAATGGATTTTTTAAACTTAAAATGAAAAGTCACATATGTGAGAAGTAATTAAAGTATTCATTAATTTATTTCACTGATTTCATCTATCAATTTTAGTGGGAAAATATTTAGGCAAAATATATTCTACATTTTCTGTTTGCTACTGGTGGTATTCGTGGTATCGTATCATAAAAAGAAATATTTTTATTGGTCTCCGTAGCGGCGATCTAACTTTTATCCGCGCTAGAAAAATTGGGTGGATCTAAATTGACTTACAATTTATTGAATGAAGCCGAGGAACTAAGAGAAAGCTTATTCAATTTGGGACCCATTCTGCTCCCATCAGATAAAGTCTACCGTTACAACCCCCAGGATCGAGTTGTTTCTTCATGGAGCCAATTGGCATTGTCCACTCCACACATATCAGTGGTGAAATCCAATTTTGTGCTTTGCGCGAATAGGATACCTGGGAGAAATGTTCACACTACAATTTTCGTTTTAGTTGTCATTATTATTTTGATTTTGAAAACGATAATTACCCGTTATACGCGCATTTATACAGGGTGGCTAAATGAAAACGAAACAGAGCCATTTTCAGGAACTGCGTCATGATTGTAGAAAAACGCTCAAACCCGTCGATGTTAGATTAAAGGGGGATATTCTTTGCTCGTATTTTTATCTCCGCCACTTTCACCCCCAAGCATTGGGGGTTGAGTAATATTTCTTTTGAAAGCTCTTCAATTATCTTTACAACATACTTTAAATTTTATAATTCCGCCCAATACTTATTAAGAATTTTGATTTTAAAGTTGAAACTTATATATAAACAATTAGTAACGGTAAAAATGTCAGTCATTTGAGTTAAGAGTATGATGATCATTTTATTTTTCAACAGGACGGTGCTCCTCCGCATTATGCGTTAATTGTCCGTCAGTAAAGGCAGCATTGAGTGACCTCCATGATCACCGGATTTATCGCCCCTTGATTTATTTTTGTGGGGATACCTAAAGAGTAAAATCTATAAAACACAGCCAGCGTCGCTGGAAAATTTGCGTCAAAGAATCGTCCACGAATGCCGTCGAATCATTCCGGAAATGCTTCGGAATGTGCGCGAACGTTTCGAATAAAATCCTTATTCTTGTATGGAAGCGGGCGGTCATCAGTTTGAAAATTTAATCAACTAAGTAGTAAGTAAGCAACTAAACATAATTTAAATTTTAAAATGTAAATTTTTTTCAAAGTATTGGGCGGAATTATAAAATTTAAAGTCTGTTGTAAAAAGAATTGTAAGAGCTTTTAAAAGAAATATTACTCAACCCTCAATGCCATTTAAATAGTTTGGAGTGATGCTTACCCTTGCTTGGGGGTGAAAGTGACGGAATCAAAAATACCATCAAAGAATGTCTCCCTTTAATCTAAAATCGACTGGTCTGAGCGTTTTTCTACAATCTTGACGCAGTTCCTGAAAATGGCTCTGTTTCGTTTTCATTTGGCCACTCTGTATATAGAAGTAGATAAGCAGAGTATACAGGTGCAAGTTAGCTAATTCAAAAGATTAAACGATCATTTCCAATACTGTATTAACTTTGATACTTTAAAGGGCCCTTTGTAGAATTACAAACAACAAACCATTACGCTAAACCTATGACTGAGGTATACATTTACTTTGAAGTTGCTTTCTTCATTTTAATTCGATTGCTGCGATACGCTAGAGATAATTTCTTATTAAATATTCGGTTTCTCCATAATTAATTTACATGAATATTCAATATGGAACACGATAATGTCAAAGGTAAAGCAGTGTGGTTAATTACAATACGTAAATTTTCATGAATCATTTAATAAAACTTTACTACAGAACCTTCGTAAATGATTACAAGCCAGGTAACTGTTGAACATGGAACTGCTTGAAGGCCATTATGAACTAAAAACCAGATTGAAGAGGTTACAGATGTGATTACCTAAATAAAATTGTTTTTGAAATTTATTAAAGTGAACTGTTAGTAGTAAACTTAATTCGTACAATTTAGTATTAGATATTTCTAAAGTACTTGTTTTTTTTTGTTGAAATGCTTTTAACTGTATTAAAAGGGGAAAAGTATCTAACTTCACTTATTAATGAACCAATTGCAAATTTTTATTATGAAAACAAGAAGAACTCATATTTTTTTTAATTTTATTATGAAGTAAAGTAAGCACAGATAGTTTAAGTTTAAGTAACATTTATAATTTAAGTTACAGTACCATACAGTACATACAGTACAGTACTGTAATATATTTTGCAATTTTCATGATAAAAATATTACATTATGTTCAAAACGGTGCCTTTCACTTGCACAAATTTACCCTTCTGGACATTTTGCAGCTATTGTTCCGTTATATCGTTTATTTCTCGAAAAATTACTGCTTAAAATTGCTTCTTAAAAATAGTAATAGTATTCTACAGATAATTAAATAATCCAATCAAAAATAATCTAAAGGAAATAGATCCATTGACCTAGCAGGCCACAACCCTTTATTGATTTATCATAAAATTCTTCTAAAAATTGAATTGTTGCTCTTGCGGTATAAGCGATTGGCCCATCTTGTTGAAGGTAACCTACTTGCAACTCATCAGCATATAATTATATTAAAACTAGCTCTAAAATAAGGTTCTTCATCTTCTGATGTTGCTATTTTTAAAGGAAGTAAATTAGTTTCTACAAATATATGATGATTTTATGCTGCACAGGTTCTATGATTTTGCTATTTACATAACCAGATTTGCTTCATCCATGAAAAATGACAGATCCAATAAATATTAATGTTTTCTAGAAACCATTCACAGTACAGTAATCATCTTCTATAATTTATGGGAAGTAATTCCTGCACAATATTCAGCTTGCCCGGATGTAATAGCAGTTGTTCCTTAGCTTTAAGGTATGTTCCAATTGAAAGTCCTAAAATTAAGATTTAAGATGTAGCTACAACTCAATTATAATTTCAAATAGAAATTAGAAAGTTAATATATTTTAGAGATTTATTGCCATCTGAAATATTTGCATGAACTTAATAAGAAAATTACCTGTTTGATAAGACATCTTTGATGCAGACTTTGAAGGTATCTGACTTATTGTTGCTGTATATTCTCAATGACATTTTCTTTAAGTACAGTTGGCCTGCTCATAGACTTTCCTTTGCAAACGAAGTATTTGGTTTCAGATCTTTTGATAATAATTCGGTTTAAAAAAGTATCATAATCTATGTTTACGTCTGGAAACTTTATCATAAATTGCTCAATGCAGGATTTCAAAGGATCAGTCTTCTTTTTCAGTCCCACTTCAGAAATGAGTCGTTTCAATAAAGGCATCTTGTTCTGCAATAAAAATAGTTCTGAAATAAAAAAAATATGTATTTTAAAATTTGTTTCTGTTAAAATTTACCAGTAACATTTTAGGTGAAAATTAATTTACACAATAACAGACACGGATGACAACCAAAATATGAATTTAGCATCATCAATCATAAATGATTTATTTACAATGGGCAGTAACGAAGTGTTGCATCTACGCTCGAACGCAATCGACCATTGGTTGAAAGAAATTACACCAATCAATAGAATGTTGAGTTTTAACGTAATCTTGATCTTATTGTTGTAGTATTTTTTGACAAAATTACTGATCTATCTGGCTATCTGATCATTTAAGAAGACACTGTATTGGTAGTATGGAACTACTACAAATTATAACATTGTTATTTATCTGCAATTTTAATTAAAAGTTAAAAAGAAGATATAGAGAGACATACTTATATCCAATTTATTTATTGAATTTCTAATAGTTAAATACAGATGTCATGATTTAGCGTCAAGTGATTAGAACATTCAATTCGTATAAACTGCCAACTTTCAACCGATTTGTGGTGCTGCTAGGTGACATTCGCAT